GGGTCATGTGAGGTGTCTATGGACGCCCTCCTCAGAGGCTAGCGGCCAGCCGCTAGCCCTATCTCGCACTCACGGGCAGTGACAATTCAATGGGTGAGTGTTTGCGAGCAGAGGCGCGTGGGCTGATTCTAGATCGCACGCCATGGCATATGACTTGGGTGGGCGTGCGACCGCAGCGCGCCCGCCGTCAGCTCGACGGGGCGCGCGTGTCAGCCAGAAGTTTGCCAGTAGAGCGATCCTGGTCTTTCCGAAGACGAGCCCCGCGCTCCTCGCAAGAGAGGTTAGCAGGCGCCGCTCTTGGTAAAAAGAAATGCGGGGTCGTGACGCGTTGGGAAGCGAAGCAAGCCGCCATGTTGGGACGCTGCACTGCGCTGCCGCGGCTCGCCTCGCAGCGCTCTCAGAGCACCTCCTCCTCCCCGGGCGGGCGGATGGTCGCCGCCGCTGCGAGCGGCGACTCCGACGCCGCCTTCGCCGCCTTCAAGCGGCAGCAGGAGGAGCTGGCGCTGCGGCGGGACCGGCAGTTCATCTACTCCGGGCTCCTGCTGGCCGGCATTGCGCTCTTCTTCTCGGTGCGCCTCTCGCAGCGCGCGCGCATCCATGAGGACGAGCGCCACGCCACGCGGCTGCGCATGTACGCCCAGATTGAGGAGAGCGACCAGCGGCGCGAGCGCCTCCTCGGCGCTCTGCCCGAGCTCGCGCAGACGGCGGCGCGACTAAAGCCCGAGGCGGCGGCCAGGGTGGCGGCGGAGGTGCGCCACGTGGCGACCAAGTGACATGAGCCTCGTTTGTGTGTGTGTGTGTGTGCGCGGGGAGTATAACGGGGCCAGTACAGGCCCTGCGGGTACAGGCCACGCCTTTGAGCCCACTGTGAGGGGGCGACACAGCGAGAAAAAGGCTCGTCGTCGCGGCCCCCCTCCCCTGGGAGAGCCGGAGGAATTGGTTTGCGGTGTGGCGTGTGGCTGCGCGGCGATCACAGGCAGGGCCAGGGGACGAGTCGACGAGGCTTCTTCACGACTTGTGCCATAGGATCCCTAATAGCGACCTCCCGCCAGGCACCGACGCTTGCCGCGACTGAAGCGGCAGGTGTGCGCACTGGTTGCGTCGTTGTGTGTGTGTTCTCTCGGCCGAGGAGCAAGCGGCGACTGGACCTGTCTGGTATAGCCCCAGCCGACTCCGCG